GAGCAGCGGCGCCTCCGCCTCGGCGGCTGGCTTAGTGGCTTGTCCATGCGTATCAGCCTATCTGTATCAGGCTATATATCAACTAAGTTTCCTAGAGGCTAGACATGGGAACTGATCCCTCTAATACGTAAAACGGAGTGACTCAACGTATAACTAATTAAATATTAGCTATTTTTTTAAAACAAATATATTAATATAATTTTTTAAGCAACTTTCGTGTACAAAATTTTTATAAAATACACCGTTTAGCGGTCTAAAAAAGAGTGGGTGTGGAAAATGAGAGACGTGGGTTGGGAAAAGAAGGAAACAAACACAGCCTAAGTATTCCGCTAAGGGCTTGTTCAGTTGGAAAAAAATTTGCTCACACATGTTACATCGGATATACGGACACACATTTCAAGTATTGAACGTAGTCTAATAACAAAACAAATTATAAATTCCACCATGAAACTGCGAAACGAATTTTTTAAGCCTAATTAATCCGTCATTAGCAAATGTTTACTGTAGCACCATATTATCAAATTATGACGTAATTAGGCTTAAAAGATTTCTCACAATTTCCTGACGAACTATATAATTTGTTTTTTTTGTCTACATTTAATAATTCATGCATGTGTCAAAACATTCAATATGACACTGTGAAAATTTTGTTTCGGAACTAAATAGGCCCTAATTCTCAAGTCTAAAGATTGTGATGAAACAGTGAAGTTGAGAAGATGACAGGACGTCCGGAAGTCTGTTTATAGGGTTCAGCTGCAGTGAAATGTTTTGGAAAGTTCCACGCAAGCAGGCAGCCGGTCGCGAGTTCTAAAGATATTTTATTCTCTTTAAAAAAAATCAATTTACTGTTTTGCACGTGGTGGAACTTGCTTGCCAAGTATAGAATTATAGGCCAACTATAATATCTGATGTGATGTGATGGTAATGTTTTTCTTAGAGAGATATGGTTGATTTTATTGAAAATTTCAGGATTTTTCATAAATACTCCGTTATGCCAGCAGACGAGCATAGCCACGAACCTAGCCAATTTTGGCTCGCGCAAAAGTAAATGAAAAGAAGGATCAGCCACCCATCTTCGTTCCATTTTTGAGAAATCATCAAAGCGGCATCACCAAACAAATCGGTGACTCGGACTATAATTAAATACGGCAACACACTGATCAATAAGATATACACAAACTACCTTCCTTTTTATTCTTTTTAACCCAAACAAGTCTTCTTAGATCATCATTGAGGACGAAATAGCCAGCGATGATAGACCGACAAACATGAAGAGCAAAATAAACTAAACGAATCAAACTTCGTGGAAAAATATGTTGTAAACCATATTTGTCAGTTAGATCCACTACTACAGGAACTGTCCTTGCAGTCGGCCAAAACCTGTTTTGTAAATGGCTGAGCAACTAGCCTATCTTTAGATATCTGTAGAAATAGTTGGTAATTTTTTGTGACAAGTTGACAACCACGATCGCAGCACTTAACGCCTTGCGGTAATCCTAGAGTCGCCAACCACCTTAATCTAGCAAAAACTAGACCAAGATGGGTTTTGATAACTAAACCGGCTAGCGGAGCCGATTTTTAGATAACTACCCGTCTCGTGGGCAAAATTGAAGATTTTCAGGACAAACCTACAAAGAGATGTCGCACTCTCGCAGCGCCGGCGAACGATTTACAGCGCAAATCGACAAAGATGGATGAACTAAAGCAAAAACTAAAAGCAATATGAAAAACGATTCGATTGATTGATTGTAGATTGATCTGTTATAATTGAACCGGCCATGTCCCTTATATAGGGGTTGGTCTTGCCCTCTATAGGCTCTCCTCCCCGTCCATCTCGGGATAGAATCCAAAGGAAACCTGAAACATGCCTTTTCAAGCAAGAAAACTTCGAGACCCGGCGAAACACACACTCGGACTCGGACCTGCCGGTCAGACCATCCACATGCCGCTGGTCTGACCGGCCCTCAACCGGCGGTCTGACCGGCCAACACACGGCGGTCAGACTGGCCTACTCGGAGGAAACCGGCAGATTTCTAAAATTTGGCAATTTTTCCTATCTTACTCCTAGGTGCCAAATTTGGGTGTAAACAAGATTATCACAGGCGTACTAACGGGATATCAAAGCCGCTTGTATTTGAAAACGAATGGAGAGTGATGAACCCTGAGTTCCTCTCGACACTCAAGGCTGTTGTTGGCCTGATCTTTCGGTGAGTTGTGATAACTACGATTTGGGAGAAACGTTGACGATCCGACTACAACCGTACGAGACGTTGTGTTGCGCCTTAGCGATCGATACACCTCTCCGTGGGTTGTTGATCTTGCCGGTGCAGATCAACCTTATTCCTGCAAGCAAATCAAAGAAACAAGCAAGAACAAGATAAAAACAATCTGAATTGCAAATAGGAATGAATACACACGATAAGTTGGGGTTTCGAATACAAGCAGACGGACGGTCTAGCCGACACACGCGCTGCAAGCGAAGTAGCAATGGCTAAACTTTCATCTAAACAAAACCCAAGAAACTCTAAAGGGGTACCTAACTATTTAAGGAGGTGGGAGGACGACCTAAGGGAACCCTAGGGTCATGCTCCACCTGGTTGGGGCGCACCCCACTTGGGCCGGGGTCCCAGACGAAGTTACAAGCCCATAGGCCCATTATAGGTGACGCAGCACCTTCTTTTTGTGATTTCGGCCGACTAGGATGGAATTTGGCGATGAAGCTGGATCCATTGGAAAGATGACTCCGAGAGCTTTCCAGCAAGTACTCATGGACCCAAAACGGAGCTCGCATGCATTTTTGGCGGCCGTTTGAAGTAGACACTGTAGCAGGTGGCCGAACTGGATTGCAGAACTTGGACGGCTTGATTTTGATGTGAACGACGGTTATATCTATAGTAGCCATGGTCACATCAGAGAGGGGCATGATCACTTATATATTTAGGATGTGATGGAGGTGATAAAAAATCGCAGTCTAGTTTTATTCATTTCACCTTTGAGGTTTTGATTTTGCTATATATTATTCGAAACAATATATTTTTTAGCTACCACTTGATTTCTGGACCGTATAATTTGCGTTGAGATGTGTGCCTCTCAGTTGAGGTCATTGCGCATCTGCAAACCAGCGAGTGATCTTGTTTTAATTTGCATACAACTGGTTCAATTATAGTAAAATTACATTGTTATTACATTGTAATTATACTCGTGATTTCTTTTTTTTTAAAAAAAAATCTTTGGAGTGATATATAGACAGTTCCGTGAGGCTACGAGGCTATGAGCCAGTTCCCTGGGGGCTATGAGCTTCACATGTCTACTCACAACAACACTATCGGAATAATCGGTCATACGCAAAATATGTTATGCAGGTGCTTTCTGTTTTGTCCTGTTTCATTCCCAAGTCCTACTACAATTTTGCTGGAGATTCAGACTTGCACCCCAAGATAGAAAGTCAAACTTTCTTTTGAGTCAAAATTGCGGACTGATCTAAGACCAAACAACACACATGTCGTATTTATTATAATGAGACCTACAAATGATTAATTAGCATGCAAACGACATCAGAGCGGTATTGTGCCTTGGCAACCACGATTTGAGCGGTACAAACAAAACAAGTCAACACGTCAACTGAGTGACTAAACGCAAGAATCTTCAGTAGTGCGTTTCTAGGTCCCTTCCACGGATCGAATCGAATCCGTCCAAACACATTCCGAGTTCCACTTTAATTAATTAATTAATTAATTAACTCCCTATAGGTTGGACAAATATCCACTCTCTTCAGTCTTCAGCCTCAGCTTGCAAACATCAGCCCAAGGAACATCCCCAGTATTTTCCCGCTCATTACTAATTAACACTCTGACCAGTTTTTCGGTTTTTAGATATCACACAATGATTAAGTTACATTCAAAACCATCTTGGTCACTTCTGAAGTGTTCTCACAAAGTAATCCCACTGCTCTGTTTCTCTCAAAATAAAATTTTTCCCCTTTGAATATTCTTTCCTGATTTTCAGTAATTTTCCATACACTGGATCGCGACTACCTTAATTTTCCACACCCAAACCCTGGCACCACTGTTCCATCATTGCCCATAAAATTTGATGATTTCACACTATATATTTGCTGCCATTTTGATTATATTAGCACTCCTGACCATGGTATAAGAAACCATATTAGTCAATGATAATGCATTATGATGTTAAATAAAATTTACTCTTCAAGAGTATAAATTTCAAAAAACCGAATCTATCATGGTCCAAGCTGCATAAAACCATAATAATTTTGATATGTGACACAATGTCAAGTATTATGTTTCTAAAGTTTCACAAAACCACACAGTTAGTCATTTTGATAATTAAGTCACATACAAAACCATCTTTGTCACTTTTGAAAAGCGCTCTCACAAAGTAATCCCACTATTCTATTTCTCTCAAACTAAAACTTTTCCCCTTTGAATATTCTTTCCTGATTTCTGGTCCACAAATACTGGACTACCTTTTCCACACACAAACCCTGGCAGCCACTGTTCCATTATTGCCCGTAAAATTTGATGATTTCACACTATATTTCTTGCCATTTTGATTACATTAACACTCGTGACCATGGTATATGAGACCATCTTAGTCAACGATAATGTATTATGATGTTAAATAAAATTTTCTCTTCGAGAGTAAATTTCATAAAACCGAATCTATTATGATCCAAGCTGTATAAAACCACAATGATTTTGATATGTAGCACATGATAATACGTATTATGTTTCTAAAGTTTCACATAAATACACAGTTAGTCATTTTTATTTTGATCAAACAAATGCTACATCTATTTTTAAAATTTTCATATAGGAATATGTCTAAAATAGTTAACGGTGTGGTTTACTAAAATTTTATAGTCACGTACCAAAATTCGTATAATTTATGTAACTTGGACTAAAAAAATCCTATAATTAATTTATGTAACTTGCACCATAAAATAAGTGTGATAAGATTTACTCTTAAACAATGATGGAATGCCTGCATGTGGAGGGTAAAAAGAATCACTCCTCTCCGATTTGACCGCCACAAACGAAACATATCAAACCCATGAACACACTAACTTATATGCTCATCCCTATAAGTTGGACAACGATTCAACGAATCCACCATTTTCAGCCCAATAAACGTCTCACAGTTGGTGATTCGATCGACATGGACGAGTCAACCGTGGAGGAGCCACTGCTCGCCGTCCGACGCGGCGGAGATGGCGAGGACGGAGCCATGGCGTCGACGGCGGCGGAGGTGAAGAGGCTGCTGCGTCTCGCTGGGCCTCTGATGGCCGGCTTCGTGCTGCGGAACTCGGTCCAGATGGTGTCCGTCATGTTCGTCGGCCACCTCGGCGAGCTCCAGCTCGCCGGTTCCTCCCTCGCCGCGTCGCTCGCCAGCGTCACCGGCTTCAGCCTCCTCGTACGCACCCGTTGAACACCTTGCTTGCACGCAATAACTGCATTGTCTCTCCGATTTCTTGGTCGAATTTGTAACTGATTTCTCGGTGGGATGATCTGATCAGTCCGGCATGTCGAGCGCGCTGGACACGCTGTGCGGGCAGGCGTACGGCGCGGGGCAGCACCGGCTGCTCGGCGTCTACGCGCAGCGCGCCATGCTGGTGCTCGCGGCGGCCGCCGTCCCCATCGCGCTCGTCTGGGCCAGCGCCGGCGAGATCCTCCTCCTCTTCGGGCAGGACCCGGCCATCGCGGCCGAGGCTGGCGCGTACGCGCGGTGGATGATCCCGTCGCTCGCGGCCTACGTGCCGCTCGCCTGCGCCCTCCGGTTCCTGCAGGCGCAGGGCATCGTCGTGCCGGTGATGGCGAGCTCCGGCGTGGCGGCGGTCGCCCACGTTGCCGTGTGCTGGGCGCTGGTGCACAAGGCCGGCATGGGGAGCAAGGGCGCTGCGCTGAGCGGTGCCGTGACGTACTGGACCAACTTCGCCGTCCTCGCCTTCTACGCGCGGCTGTCCGGCGCCTGCAAGACGACGTGGACCGGGTTCTCCATGAACGCCTTCAGGGAGCTCCGCCGGTTCACCGAGCTCGCCGTGCCGTCCGCCATGATGGTCTGGTCAGTGGCACGCCTGACACCATTTATTGAGTTGTATGCACTGACTAGTTCAACCTAAAAGCTTAAGCTGATGAAGAATGATGGGCAATTCACTTTATATTCCAACACTCCCCCTCACGTAAGGGCCCCCTCAAGCCTCTGGTGTGGAATAGAAGTAGGTTGTAATTTTTATTTAATTGCATGCCAGCCATTTAGAAGTAGTTGGACCACCGGCTTAGAGCGGCGACGGTGGCAACTTAGAGACACGGTGGCTATGCTCGAAGTAGACAAAAAAGAACCCGAGTAGCTGGCGATGACCAGTGCGAACACGAAATTGTTGATGCTCGAACGGCAATGAAGACGACGAAAGCGGTGAAGCTGTTGTCCAAGAGGACAACATATAGCTGCAGCTCCATATCGATGCAACGGCGAGAAGTCCACTGGTGATAAAGCCATGCTAAAAAGGGCGTCTCTTAGCACTGTAACAACCAGTACAGGTAGATCACGGGGCGGTGGCACTGTAGCCCGAGGGGGCAACGCAGTGGCAACCCGGAGTTTGATAGCGTAGTAGACTTGCTCGTAGATGATCGGCAGCAAGATCTCGTCGTAGCCAGGCGTTTGAACGGATGATCAAGCCAAAGTTGCGTGGGGCTAGATGATGAAGAGAAAGTTGGAGTCGATGCCGATGTCGGAGACGTGCAGATGTCGATAAGGCGGTGGGCGATGCAAACTCGTTCTTTGAACGGGAAGAAACAAAAATGATGCACAACATTAGCAACAGTAGCAATACGGCAGCACCACGTCCAGCACTCTCCGTGGTGGCTTTGACCTGGTCAAGGAGCCCTATGTACCCATCAAGTGTCTCTCTGCTTTCTTGGATGGAGTTTTTAGAAGAGATTGTGAGTTTAGAGGGATGAGGCTATTAAGTGTTTTGTTTAGTTGAGAGACATGGGAATTTTAGTGGGATGGGGATGGAGAATTGAGGAAGGAACTCTCTCCTTTTCAATACCCGCGTAGGGGCAGGTAATTGTGAGAGAATTCCTCCTTTACTTTCTCTAAGCAAATCTCAGCTATCCGTTTTTATTAATGACCTAATCTCTAACTAAACTCCCTACCAATTTTCATCACCTCTACCAAACAAGATATTGGGATTAAAAATCAAATTTCCATCTTAATCTAATCATCAATTCTCTCGTATAAACTCCCAATCCCCTTCCCTCGAATTACCAAACAAGCCGAGGAAATCTTGTTTGCTTGCTTGCAGATTGTTTGGAATCTTTCAACACCATCGCTGGTTTCTTGCTTGCTTGAGCAAATCTTGGAACATGTTTTGTGATCGAGAGAGCAAATTAATCTTGCTTGAACAAATTTTGGGAATATTTTTGTGAGGATTAGCTGGTTGATTTGGTTGTGTGCAGCTTGGAGTGGTCGTCGTTTGAGATACTTGTGCTGCTCTCTGGCATTCTGCCGAATCCTCAGCTTGAAACTGCTGTTCTGTCAATCAGGTAATTTGATCATAAGCAACACACATACAAATCAGCTCTCCTCCTTCCCATGGGTAATTTGTTAACTCCAATTTAATTTGCAGCTTGAGCACTGCTTCTCTCCTGATCATGGTGCCACGTGGCATTGGCTCATCTTTAAGGTCTGTATCGCCTCTAAACTCCATTACTTCATTATCATCTTTTAGAACAGTGCCCTACTGAGTTGTTCTCATACAGGGTTCGCAATTTTGTCTTGCACTTTTTGTATTTTTTTTGTGGGGTTGTGGGACTGAGATTTTTGAAATCTTCTAAATTCCCCAAAATTTCTGAACGACGATATTTGAAATCTATCAATCTACCTATCTATTATCTATTATATACTAAAGGTTCATTAAATTTCCTACAAACGCTCTCATGCCGTCACGTGGGATTCCTACAAACGTTCCTAAACCACCACATGTCATTTTAATAAATTACAAAAAAAAATACTAATTAAAAATTCTAAGAAGAAGAAAAAAATCTTACCATTAATTGTCACTTATATTGGTGGACCTGTTATTTTTAACCACTTGATGTTATCCCTAAAATATGAAAACAAATTCCGATCCCCTCTATCTTAGAGCTTGTTTAGATTCTTACCCAAAATTTTACACCCTGTCACATCGAATGTTTGAACACCTGTATGAAGTATCAAATATAGGCTAAAAAAATAACTAATTACACATATTGCGACTACTTTGCGAGACGAATCTATTAAGCTTTATTGCTCCATGATTTAAAAATGTGGTGCTACAGTAAACATGTGGTACCGACGGATTAATTAGGCTTAATAAATTCGTCTCGTGGTTTAATGACGGATACTGCAATTATTTTTTTATTAGGGTCCGAACACCCCATATGACACCCTATATAATATCTGATGTGACACACCAATACTTTATATCCCCTGGATCTAAGGGCCTTTCACAGTGCTCCACCTAGGACCGGTGCTATGGGGTGCCACGGAGGATTTTGTCCGATGTGAAACGAGTGCCCGCGACCAAGTTAGGCTCTTCGCGTCCATACTGAGCGACGCAGAACTTGTTTGCTCGAGTCCACGCGCGGCCAAAAAAACGAGAGGAGCCTGCGCTGTGGGCTTCGGTTCTTTGCCGCGTCGTGACCTCATGCCGCATCCAGTGAAGAAATTCCTGATTCGCCCACGAAAAACCCCATCCCGCCCCAGCGATTTCCCCTCCCGCCACAACCATTCTTCCTCCCGCCACCGAATCAAGAAAAAGCAAGAAAAACGAAGAACCGAAGATAAGAACATGACAAGCAAGTATAGATAGGAGTAGGATCACAGGAACAAACATCACAAGAACTGAAGATACACATGACAAGCAAAGATAAGAACAGGAGAGCAGTTCTTGATTTTTCTCATCAAGAACTGGAGAACAGAACATGCAAAAATATTAAGAACAGTGATTCGCTTCTTGATTTCTTGACGGAGCTGACAGCGGCGGCGCCGGCAGGGTCAGGATCGGCGGTGGGCAGCGGCGAGGCCGGTGGTGGTGGCCGACCGCCAGATCTACTGCCCCACCTCCTACTCCTCCTCCTTCTCGCCGCCGCCGCGTGCAGTGGGTGGCGACGCCTTCTTGCTCCCTCCTCCCCGCGGCGTGGGAGGCGAGGAGGCGCGGCGGACCGGGAGGAGGAGCGGCGGCGCGGGCTGTGGTGGCCGACGCCGCCACGGGCCCGCGGCAGCCGGGACGCCTCCCGCCGCCAAGAACCGGCGGCCGCTCGCGCGGCTGAACAAGAACCGTCGGCCCTCTTCCTCGCCGCTCGCTGGATCTACTCCCCCACCTCCTCATCCTCCTCCTCCCCCTTGCCCTTGCCGGTCGGCGAGGCGGCGCGGTCAACCGGGAGGCGAGGCGGCGTGGTCGACGGGAGACGAGGCGGCGCGGCTGACCGGGACGAGGCGGCGCCGTCGACGGGAGAAGAGGCGGCCGGAGCGGAGCGCCACAGTAGACGAGGAGGAGGAGCGGTGGGTGTGGCGGATTGGGAGGACGAGGAGCGGCGGGTGCGGCGGATTGGGGGGAGGGGAAGGGCTGGGAGAGGAGTCGCTGGAAGGGTAGGTTAGGAATTAATTCGTTCCGCTCCTCATGACCACTCGCCTCGGGTAACGCCCACTGTGGGCTGGGTTTCTTTCCATATATAGTACCTTCATCCCATTTAGCCACACATATATGGGTACTTGCACTGTGGGATGTGTGTCTTTGAGCTGTGACTTTGGGCTAGGGGTAAGGGCCCCATAGCTTATACTGCTATTGCCCTAAACACCCCCTTACTATGGGCACGGCCACCCTGCATCCTCTCCTCTTATTTCTCCGCTTTAAGTAAAATCGAAACCATCGTGTATAATGATGTGGGCCTGCACCGGTTGACCGGCATGGTGCTCCCATCTGTACACGAGGTATATCAGGCTATCAGCTAGTACTCACGTTAATTCAGTGCTGGCACCACAGCTTCTCCAAGTTTCCAAACAATCTGCAGTTATATAGTTCACGATGGGAGCAAAATTGCAGTCCTCTAGATGAATGTACGTATATATATAGTTCACGATTAACTGGGTTTTATTATCTCCGTAGCGTCACAGCTGTTCACTTTACCTTTTCTCGTTCATCAGAGAAATCAGAACTCATCGGTATCTTTCTACTCCTAACCTTTTGTTCTGTCCGATTAGTGTATTTCTGTTCGCTCCCTTTTGAAAGGAACAAGCGTCCTACAGAATGCAATTTGGCCATGTTCCAATGGTAATAAAAATATATTCTAACACGGATAAAAAAACCTTGTGCTACTGATCCCTAAAAGTCTATGAGAGACCCTTTAGTAGAGAGTCTAAAAAAGGAGAAAAATATAGAAAATTTGGAAAAAAAATAACAGTTTAAATTTATGGGAAGTATTTTTTTCCTATCAAAATCCATTTTTTAAGGATTATAAAAAATAGAATATTCTACTATACCATAAATATTTATCGAATATCCTCTACTCTTTATAATTAGTTATATTCTTCCGATAAAACCATTAATATGTAGGGCTCAGTCTACTATACCCCCAAATATTAGTGCCATGTATATATCCATATGTATGGAGCAACTGAGTCACAACTGCCCATTAGATGCTAATAGGTTAAGGCTGAAAAAAAGGCATGTTTAATATTGTTTTGGATTCATGATTTTTTTTAACTGGATATTCGTAGCTCCACAAATCTATCCATCTAGATTTTTTCAATGGGTTTGCTTATAAATCCAAAACCCATAGATTTTTTTAAAAAAAAACTGAGGTAAAAATATGAAAATTAATGTTGGAATTCTGATAAAGGGAAAAAAAAACCCTCCCATAATTTCATCTTTAATTTGGTCATCACTACGTCATGTGCCTAAATAACGATGTTCTAATTAATCGCAAAAGAACACCGATATTTCTTACTTTGCACAAATTTAACATCTTATGCATCTTGCATGTCATGTGTATAGATACTAAGAAAGTAGGAGTAAGCATAAGTACCAATTAGTTGATACCCTGCACGTTGCTGCGGGATAGCTATATCGTGAATTTGTAAGATGTAATTCTAGAACTTTTGATTATTGGTATAGTATCATTACATAGAAGGGAACATATAGTTGTAAATTTATCATAATTGCATGATCAACATGCTTGAACGTTCTATCTGTACATTGTATTGCTATATGAATAGAAATGACATGATTCCAATTAAGATACTCCTATTTTGAAGAACCATAAATAGTAAGCAAACATGACACTATTTTTATTATGTACTAAATTGGCTTAAGATCTCACTCAGATATATTAAACAACTAATGAAATATTTCTTTTTTGAGAAAACAAAGAGAAAATATGGATAATGTTGCATACATATGTTGGTATATGATCTTAAAAAAACATATTGGGTGCATGAATCTAGTAATTTCAAGAAACAGCATGTTCACCTATGAGTAAATGGGAGGAATTGTGGAGAAACAAATTCAGTGATCGCAAGTCTGAAAAACACAAAGATTTGGCACAGCCTTTTAATCAGCCTTTTAACACAAAGAGTGGACCAATCCCTCAATACTTTAAGTTACCATAGTTGTGATACATTGACATATGAAGCTTGGTGATAAACGAAGAAATCAGATATGAAAAGAAGCAAGATCATGATAGAATACCAAAAACCAATCACCATAGGAGATAGACATATATAGATATCCTTGCAATTTGTAAAGATCATCGAGTGTTGTAATATGTCCCAATAAATTTTCGATGTCATCTATGACAGTGGCAAACCAAAATTTCATTGGACCATTGACATTTCCTCCTTAGATGACTGAGGAAGCATGTTCAAGCATAAATATTCCAAGAAAATCCATTGCATCAGCCTAGATATGGCTAGTAGATGCAATAGAAAAATTAAAGGGAATAAGAAAGAGGTAGACACAAATGTAGTGGTGTAGGCTTCCTGTGGGAGATGTATTGTTTAGTGGTTAGTAATAAAGGGAGATATAATGATATGCATGAGGTAATTAAGAGGAAGACAAAAAGCATTGGTCCTCTCACATGCCATTGGCTGAGAAGAACTTGATTTAACGGTTGATTTGCATAGACGCGAGATGATATAATAATCAATATAATCTTGATGATGTGGCCTCACAGAATTTGAGCTTTATAGCATGAATAACTTGTAGTGGGTACCAACTATATAGGAAAAAGGATTAAAGAGTAGGCTGGTATAAATGAAAACATCCATCCACACAAATGTTTCTAGCATGACTAATATATATGATGTATGTTTGTACTTATATAATCTATCTTTTATCTAATAGACGATGAAAGTTTTTTGGTGTTTGTTGAGAAAGAGAATTACAGGCATTTATTTAAAAGAGAAATCATCCGACCTTCAATTTATCCTTAATTTACATGTCCAATTTTTAAAATAATTTTGCAATAACATTCAAAAGGATGGTCATCCAAGTAAGCGGCCAACTCCCTAGAATTTCGAGAAAATCTCCTCAATGTCCATTAAACACACTCTAATCCCTCCTAAGACATCTAGAACTTCTCTTGATACTTCCAACAAAATTGGAAATCCTATAAATTCTTAGTATAAGAGAAGAAAAACATCTGGCTTCCTTTTTTTTACATAAATCGGTATAGAACAATTATTATACATGGTTATATATCTAATGTCTTTTAAAAAAACTTAACAAAGTTCTCTCTTTTACCATGAAATTACACATAGTCAGTTGACTTCAATATTGAGATGCCTTATGCACGAATTGGTTGTGCCATTATTTTTATGAATCCGACCATGTTCCCTCATCCATCCTTTTAAATTCACTATAGTCTTTAGTCAAATAATGAATAAAGGATAGATGATGATCCGAGCATCATATCGGGGTCGTACAAAGCATGTCTTGCCTTTGGTATCATAGAAATAGCTTATGTGTAACACCTTACCACCGTTTGTAGCATATAGTATGGTGCATTGTTTAAGGACACTTTCATTTCAACAACTCAGGTGAGATTTTCCATGGCACAAAATCTACAAAGGTCATTAGCGAGTGATTACGTAACTACTAACCATTGTATATTTGTTTTATCTGTTTAAAGAAACTTCTATATAGAAAGATTTTTGCACGAAATGCATTGTTTAGCAGTTTATAAAGCGTGGCGATGGAGAATGAGGGACTTGCTCACCCAAGTGTCCTAGAAGTGGTTGTGGTAATGGTGACAGGATATGTGCTATGCGTACCCATAAGTTCGTAGCATGTAGTAGTGGTAAAAATTCCATAAAATAAAGATTTCACAGTTTCAAGTAATTTTAGTTTACAATCCACGTGTTCCTACAGTAATTGCAATGCAGTCATAACCAATGTTGAAAGCAATCCCAAATACCTTTTTGAGAGATCTCTGAAGTTTAAAATAAAATAAAATAAAATATCATCTCAACTAAAACCCATTCGAAATTGAATATTAACTTTACTCTAATATTTGTTTTACAGAACATTAAAATGGAAAGCCCGCACATATGCCCGGGCTGCCTTCTTAGTTTAAATAAGTTTTGACCAAATTCAGTTTACCCTTGTACTACTTAAGTTTTATTTACATGGCAAACATGCTTTTCTTCCTTCAGCTTTCATGTCATTGGATTAGACAATGAACTGATTAGTTCCACCAATTTTGCACTTTCGCAGCACACGCGTCTCGAACGAACTAGGTGGCGGGCATCCTCGAGCAGCAAGGATGGCAGTGCGAGTGGCCACAGCCATGACAGTGCTTGTATGCCTCGTGCTAGTGATAGCCATGATTCTGCTGCGCAATGTCTGGGGATACGCCTACAGCAACGAGGAGGAAGTGGTGGCATACATTGCAAGTATGCTCCCCATCCTCGCGGTCTCCTTCTTCGTAGATGGCATCAATGGTGCTCTTTCAGGTGCAAATCCATACCATATTTCTACTTGCGATCAATTATCAAAACATTTTAGCTGTACTTTTTTTTCTCATTATCGATCGATGAGTTTTTCGGATAGTTCATATCGTTAAGTCGATCAGTAGTAATAAAATTGCGTGGACCTCGGAACATTTCAGGAGTTTTGACAGGATGTGGTAAGCAGAAGATTGGCGCTCATGTGAATCTTGGCGCGTTTTACTTGGTTGGTATTCCGACGGCTGTGCTTCTTGCATTTGTCCTCCATCTAAATGGAGAGGTAGCACTACTCCCTCAATCCCTTATGCAAAATATGCAGTGCAGATTGTTTTTTTGCTGATTCATAGAAAAGTTCCGGTGTAGCTTTGTATGATGATGATGCATTGTGAAACCAGATGATTGAACCTGCTAGCTGTTTCCATAAAACAGGGTCTTTGGCTTGGCATTGTGTGTGGCAGTATCAGTAAAGTAGGGATGCTCCTCTTCATCACACTGCATACAGATTGGGGAAAAGAAGTGCAAAAAGCTTCACCCTGCAAACACTTCGGTTTGTATCATGTATTCAGTGGAACTTCGGTTTAATTTTGTTTCGTTTGTCCAATTTTCAGGTTATCATGCCGAAAGAAAGGGTCTTCAGTTCAAGTATTCCAACTCGATGAAGAATTCGAGAAATGTAGGTGTAGTATTCTGCAATGAAGATGTACTCAACGCGGTTCTTTAATAAGAGTCAGTGTGTTGCAAGCGGTTATCTAGCATAAAAAAGAATTATTAGCTCTCTCGCTCGCGAACAAATTTCCTGCCTCAAAATAGCTGAATTGAGGTTCTTCATCTTAAAAATTTCGAAATCAATTCTCTATTAATCGACTATTATAGTTGAATTGTAAAGTCATAGATGTCACTATACTCTATACTATCAAACATAATTTCAGTCATTTGAATTGAATTTGAAAAAAAGAAAATGTATACAAAAGGACATCCACTCAATGGATCTTAATTAGGGAATCCCACTTCGGTTTGTATCATGTATTCAGTGGAACTTCGGTTTAATTTTGTTTCATTTGTCCAATTTTCAGGTTATCATGGCGAAAGAAAGGGTCTTCGGTTCAAGTATTCCAACTCGATGAAGAATTCGAGAAATGTAGGTGTAGATTTCTCCAATGAAGATGTACTCAACGTAGTTCTTTAATAAGAGTAAGTGTGTTGCAAGCGGTTATCTAGCATAAAAAAGAATTATTAGCTCTCTCGCTCGCGAACAAATTTCCTGCCTCAAAATAGCTGAATTGAGGTTCTTCATCTTCAAAATTTCGAAATCAATTCTCTATTAATCGACTATTATAGTTGAATTGTAAAGTCACAGATGTCACTATACTCTATACTATCAAACATAATTTCAGTCATTTGAATTGAATTTGAAAAAAGAGAAAATGTATACAAAAGGACATCCACTCAATGGATCTTAATCAGGGAATCCGTTTCCAGGGTTTTCAATTTCCTGTTGGATTGAAGTTTCTGGAATTTTCATACTTTTTTGCACAAAATTATTTTAAATTTTAACAAAATGTAACTGAATCTGAATAAACTTTAACCAAATTCAACAAAAAAAGGAAAAAAAAGGGGGGAAATTTTCCACCGAGATATGCTTGTGCGCAGGGGGGGAGGGGGGGTTGGAGGATGCGTTAGTGATGGACAATCATTGTGCCAGAGAAATGCATGGAGCAACCAAAGGAGGTAATTTCGTGTGGACAATCATTATTTTCCCAAACGATGTACATGAGAAGATGGAGGAGGTGAGAGACAGACAACCATAGCTAGCTAAAGATGGCACCATGTTTGCGGCAGCATGGAAGAGTGAGAGGAGGAGCAGGCAAGGCCCAACTCCGCATGCACAGCGGCGACAAATCGGTGCTGAAATGACTCGTCCATGGGTTCTATGCTACGGATATCATATGCATCCCTATAGATGATACGCCAGCGCTGCTGCCCGCCATGCTCAATGGCGGCCTCTACTTTGGGCCCCTAGATCCCGTATCCAACATCATCACCAATGCCGTTGGCCACCTCCCGCCACCGGCCAACGTGATGGTGCAGTGGTCACTGAAAGCCCTTGTCGGGTTCTTGATATGCTACTTCTACTACATGCCTAGCCTGGAGGCGCTGTGCTACCTATGCTCCACCGAGGCGGATATCCTCACCATTGTCCACCTCATCGAGGTTGATTGTTGCACGCGAACATTTGGCGTTGGCTCTGGCACCACGAAGACCTCCCCCAGCTGTGCCACGGGGGGACCGGGCCATGCTAACATGGACAGCCTCACCACGGCCATGCTTACGCTCTCCTTGAGGTTACGCAAGATCGCCGGTCTTCTGTCCACAGAAACGGGTAGTCATTCCCTGAATACCCAGTGCTGCCACAAGTCTGGCACGTCATTGGGATGTCCAAGGTTTGGGTAGTACCATTCATTTCTGCCTTGTCACGAGCACATTCGTCCAAGCGTTTCATGAGGAGGTCCATCTTAGCGGCGAGCATGTCCATCTCCTTGACTGTATGCATGCCCCACTAATGAGGTTGGAGTCGTTCTTTGCTCCACCCTTGGTTAGAGACCATCTACTCAATTAGTTCTGATGTGCGAGCAACAATGAGTGACAAGAAGGCTCCTCCAGCAGCAGCATCAATATGATCTTAGGCCAACTGCGTCAGCTCGTTGTAGAGGTTCTGGATGATGAGCCATTTATCCATCCCATGGTGAGGACAAGCCAGTTTTGCGCGTTATTGACGGTCGTTATCGATCAGTTTCGACCATCAATATTACTAAAACAGGAGAGAACTAGTGATGCTTGCAATACATATATTTTTTAGAATAATAATATTCCACTAGTGTTAGGTTTACTAACCTTTTGCAGAGAATGATCATAAAAAGGAGGAGAATCGACATCAACACCAACGATAAATCAATTAGACGATGTTGAGAACCAGACTTATGCATGAATGGGCCAAGAACTCAGAATTGACACGACAAACTGGGCCAAAATTGACAAGTCTGTGAAGAGAAGCAACAGACGAGGCCGCCAGCCGAAATTGGGCTGGATCAAGCCGAACCCTCCTTAGCGCCATCCGATCCAGGGCTTCGCCTGGACGGTGTGGATTAGCCCCAAATGGCAGTTGGAGGGCATTTCCGACCATTCCAACCGCCACAACCGTCATTGGGAGGCTATAAAAGGAGTTGCCATTCTCACTTCACTCACACACCTCAAGCAAGAGCTCTCTCATTCCTCTCAAGTTTAGTTTAGTAGTATCTAGCTGGTGGAATAGAATTAGAAGAGGAATCAGGAGTTCGGAAGCCTTCGGAAGAGTTCGGGTATGGCTCTAGCAGCTTTCCTTTCCTCTTTTGTAAGCTTTGTACTTTTATTAGAATACTCTTCTATATACATTTATGGTATTGAAATACTTTCCGAGTATATGAGTACCAACTTTACATTATGTCCTTGTTATACTAAATATACGGCTAGCTTATCTAGGAGATGCTTTGATGCGGGTATAGTGTTTGCTTATACAATTACTATATGTCATGACGATGATATTAGAGTAGTATCTGGTAGTTTAGACGTGGTGTCTAGATTACAAGATATCATTATTTGGGGTTATATATTGCGGATGAGAGTAGGGCCGCTGAAGATGACAGCTCAGTACAGGTATTCCTCCACGCCTATATATAATCCTAAGTTAATTTCCTGGGGAGGGTATTCCTCCATATTTAGCCCCGGTTGGATGGTCATGACGGGCTGTCGTAAAGAGCTCGGCAGTCAGAGTTGGCTTCTCGAAGTACCAGGAGAGCATCGGATAGAGGGTATTAGCTAGTATATCGGTTAGCTAGAATTATACTAGAAGTATAGGAATAGATTTCTTTTCTCTTATTTCCACCTAGCTTAGATAAATTATTATGAGGATGAGTAGTAATGCTTGTGTGTCACTCTACCCTTGGATTATCTTAACCCCTGCTTAGAATATGATTATCACAAGTAATATATAAATTATTAGTTGAGTTCTCTCTACATGATCTTCCCACGGGATAAAATAAATACGATACCCTTGGAATACTCTCGGTTGAAATGCTACAATGGTATATCCGTGCGCTTGCGGATGAAATGTGTAACCATAATATACCAGAATTATTTCTGCGCCATTGCTGAGAATTATGTTGCTAGTAATGTCATTAAGAAATACCAACACGCGTCTTGCTTTTGTGCCACATGGCCGGCTTCTTGCGCTTAGTCTTCAGACTTGGTATCGGCTCCCTCATAGCCTCTTGAAGTAAGCAAGATGTGGGAGGGGCACCTGCACCAAGTCTTGACGATACCGATAAGGGAACATAATTTATCGGCAGAGCACTAAAGCTGGTCATGGGAGTGTCATCGTCTTCCTGCATATAAATGGACAGATGATCAGTGCTTGAAATAGAGGAAGAATTGAGTGCACAAAGATTTTACCTCAGCATCATCAGGAACGAATTTAGGATCAAGTAAAGCGAGGAAGTTGTAGACTGGAGGTTGAAAAGGTGACGCTTCCATTCACCCCACCATTTGATCCATGGTCTACTGCCGATAGTACGGCTGTCCCAGTCAATGAAGGGACCAAGATTTGGACCATTGAGGTTTGGGAGACAATCGCACTTAAGTGCACTTGTGATCGTTCCCCGAGTTTGTATCTTTTTGATGAAGTAAACTTTGATAGGGACTTGGCCGAAACCAAGTTGATGGGCCACCACTAATGGGTGATAGAATTCATACGAGATATGAGAGTGGTGTCCCATAGAAATGCCGGTCTGAAGAATGCAAGGGGTGATAGCCGTTATAAATATCTCTCGGCTTGCTTCATCAGAGTTAATGTTGTTCAGATTGAAGTCCGATGGAAGTTCATAGCCTTCGAATTCTTCATAAGGGAACCAGTTTCTGGTGCAGCCCTAGGGAAACCAGTGTAGAACCTATTGAACCAGAGCATGACATTTTCAAGCGTAAGGTTGCTGCTAAGATAGATGATTGCTGCTTCGCCAAGTGACGTGCATCTGGGAAGAGATTTTTCATCACCTTCTGCGAAATAAGCCAGAAATCTTGATTCAGTGACGTGCACTCCAGTGATTTTGACGGTGTAGAACTTAAGCCAGAGTTGTACAAGCCACCATGGACTGCCCAAGTGGCCGATGGGCTGACCCTCCAATAGTCGCACTGCAGAAGACAAATCTCTCCAAGCAGAAATTAAGAAAGGCCACATGCTCTCTGTCGGTTACTGCTCCAGTTCTGGCATGCTTGGTGATACAAGCTGACCAGCCGCTGACACATTTGGTCTCTAGCTTGTTAACACATTTTATTCTCAGACTACAAAGATTAGCCGATGAAGTGATGTTCAAACCAGTTAGCATGACGATATCGAGCAAGGTGGGACTGATCGGCCCATGGTTGAACAAGAAGGTGTGTTCAGAGTATCGGACCAAAAATGTGTAGCCGATGCAATCAGAGACTCAACCTTTTCCGGCTCGGCCAAAGATAGAGCGATGCACTGAGTTATGCCTATATTGGACCAGACTTTGTGCTTGGCTTCCAGCATACTCCGATACTAGTTTCTCTAGCTGGGAACCTTGGAGGGCCAAGATCTGAATCTTAAATTCCAATCGGAAATGCAGGGGCTAGATAGCTTGAAAGGAATTCGATTGGTCTCCGCGTTAATAAATTCAATGGGATCCTCATTGCCCCATCAGTCCGAGAAAATAATATAATGGTTGATCGACTAGAGGAATCACTATTTGATCTCTCATTTGCTACAGTGAAATGAGTAGTAAAAAAGAGATGACAACAAAGAACACGAGGCGAAAACCAGAGAATGAGGGATTTATGGATTTAGTGCGGTAAATAAAGAGGAAAAAGGAGAGTTTTACGGATATTACCTCTAGGATGTCGCTAGTCGTCGCCATTTGAATGAATGGTGGAGTTCGCCAGAGGGGGTTTGATAGTTTCGTTTTGGTTGCCGGAGTTGAGAAGAGAGGAAATTAGAGCTTGTTGGTGTAGGAAACGAAGAAATAAAGTGGCAGCACGATGATGGCAGAGGTGACCGTTGCTATTTATAAATTACGGTGTTAAAGGCTGAGATGGGCTATTTGGGCCATTATAAACCCTAATGGGCTGGTGTTAAATGTCCTGTGACGGATGAATTCCGAAGCATGTCTATCCATACTCCAGAATTAGGGGAATGTGTTAATGGTAAAATTTGGTATATTCCATTGAAAAAGGAATAAGGGATGGGAAAAATTAACGGCGTAATTTTGTTTGGCCAAACAGGGATTGGATCGCCTAACAAGTATCGACAGGACCATATCGGCTGAGTGTTGCCGATAGTAGCAAGTTGTGTTCCTATCGGATTCGGAGGAAGGGGTTGGTAATATTGCCAAGCAAAGATCGAGTCCGCCAAGGAGATAATTGCATCTATTAATTAGGATAAAAGTCAGTTTTCCTTTAGGTGTTTTAGGAGTCTATGTTAGAGTCCGTAATGGGCTGGTGTGTTTTTTTTTTTCAAAGTTTGTGTCGTGCCCGATATGGATAGGTTTTGTACTACGTGCATAAATATATGCCTAGGGTCTTCTAAAAAAACAACAACCATTCATATACTCTCGGCGCATCGCCACCCTTTTACTTTTCTACTTTTTCGACGAGTTCTTGCTTCGAGTTAGGGCATCGGCTTCGATCTTCTGACGAGAGCAATGGCTTGTCACAGTGGCTTGCGTTGGTGGATTAGGGCGTTGTTTTAGATGTTCTAATCTATCCTATTCGATCGCTGGTTATTATATGTCTTAGTTAATCTAACCTGATGACTCGATTAGCTATATCGGCCATGTCTTATTTACGGTTTTGCCGGCATCGGCTAATTTGTTTTGTCGGTTTGGATTAGCTAACATATCCACCACCCTGAAAATCAGTCAAGGCATGATTGTTTAGACTTTATGCTTCTTTTCATACTTTGTGCTGCATCAGCCTTAGTCATGCTTAGAATTATAGAAACTAACCTGCTTCTTGATTGCTAATAGGGATAGAATCGGGGTTTCAACCGATCTTACATGATATAATTTTTTAGCTTTGTTTAAATCCTTTAATCATGTTTTTCATGTTGTATCTGTCCCTCATACAAGTGTATCACACTATTTAAATATATCAAGCTTGCTCTTGAAATATTTATTTAGATTGATATTCTTGCATAAGGCTATATTGGAGTATTAGCCGATACGGTACCTATCTTAACCAAAAGTATCATATCATCGGCTATGATATAAACTACATTTAATCTTTAATTTGTTTGATCTGATTTACGAGCAATCTACACTATCTCATTCAATCTATACTATTTGCTTACATCTCATAGAAAGGTTGAATCATGGAACATGTCTGATTGTATCTACAGCCGATGGAACATATTTTAGATTTGTCTTATTTTATTCATCCTACACCTTACAACCAATTCGGACAAATTGCATCGGCTAGGTTTACATGATACGTTATCAGCTCATAAGCCGACCGGCTATCGTAATTTAACTTGATTTTCTTGTTTATTCTTGTTTGTTGTAGGGTCAAACCAATTGGCACGTCCTGAACTCGAAAGCGAGATTTGGATCTGCACTGGAGCTAAGCATAACTCCCAGACCCCCATGTTTTTTTCATCAACAGGAAGCGAACGACCTCCTTGGAGGCATCGTTCACGAGGTTTTGTTTCCTTGCCTGATGAGCTTCGATCCTTTGGGTAATCGGCGTTCTCTCGAGTCATTATCATCAGGTTTGTGTGAGGGACGAGTAGATCTTCTCTCTCGCCCTCTCCCTCCTCAGGCCTTCTACCTGATGATGATCGGGAGCCCATCGATGATCTCCTGGTTTGGAGCCCTACTCGGAGGGGCGTTTGCAACCCTGTGTAGGATTAGCGGTGATCGGTCTCGCATAGCGGCGCCGGCGGTCAATTTGGTGCTAGTGCTTCTCTTGGGGTGTGTAAGGACTAAGGAGTCGCTAGCACGTGGTGATTTTTTTTTCTTTTTCCTGATTATAGCCTTCGAGGACGGTAATCTTCTATTCTTTTTCCTCCTATACCGTGTGGGTCGTAAAAAAGGGTTGCTTTCAGCTTTGTCCTGTTTCATTCCAAACCTTACAATTTTGTTGGAGATTTAGACTTGCATCCCAAGTTTTAGAAAGTCATCTTTCTTCCGAGTCAAAATTGCTGACTGATCTCGGACCGGACAACACCACGTCTTACTTTTTAAACTGACGCCTACAAATAATGAATTAGGATGCAAATCACATTAGGTATTTGTGCCTTGGCATCCAAGAATTGGGCGGTACAAACAAAACAAGTCAACACGTCAACTGAGTAACTAAACGAAAGAATTTTCAGTAGTGAGTTGCTAGAGGCCCCTTCCACTGATCGAATCGAATCCGTCCAAACACATTCCAAATTCCACTTTAATTAAATTAACATTAAATTAACTCCCTATAAGTTGAACAACTAATCCACTTTCTTCAGCCCTAGATTGCAAACATCAGCCCAAGAAACGTCCCCAGTATTTTCCCGCTCATTGCTAAATTAAGTTTTTGGTTTTCAGTATTATTACACAATGATTAAGTTACATTCAAAACCATCATTTTCACTTTTCAGAAGTGCCTTCACAAAGTAATCCTACTTTTTTTATTTCTTTCCAACTAAAGCTTGTTTCTCTTTTGAATATTCTTTCGTGATTTCCAGTGCACACACACTGGAATACATTTTCCCCACACAAACCTTCGCAGCTACTGTTCCATTATTGCCCATAAAATTTGATGATTTGACACTATATTTGTTGCCATTTTGATTATGTTGATACTCGTGACTACGGTATATGTACCATCTTAGTCAACAATAATGTATTAGGATGTTACAAAATTTACTATTTTATAAAACCCTGTCTATTATATATTGTGGCACGTAATCTCAAGTATTATGTTCACTAGAGTTTTAGAAAACCAAACAGTTAGCCATTTTGATTTTGATCAAGCAAATGTTACTTCCGTTTTTCAAAATTTTCATATAGGAGTAATGGAGTATGTCTAAAATAGTTAACGGCGTGGTTTTGTGAAACTTTATAACCATAATATTCGAGGTTATGTTTCACGTGCTAAAATTCCTATAATTTATATAACTTGGACCATATAATAAGTGTGATAGAATTTACTCTTAAATAATGGAAGCCCAGCATGTGGAGGGTAAAATGAATCACACCTCTCCGATTTGACCGTCACAAACTCGTCAACACACCAACTTATTATGCTCCGTATAAGTTGGACAACGAATCCACCATTTTCAGCCTAGCATCAGCCCAAGAAACGTCTCACAGTTGGTGATTCGATCGACATGGACGAGCCAACCGTGGAGGAGCCACTGCTCGCCATCCGACGCGGCGGAGATGGCGAGGACGAAGCCATGGCGTCGACGGCGGCGGCGGCCGCGGCGGAGGTGAAGAGGTTGCTGCGTCTCGCCGGGCCTCTGATGGCCAGCTTCGTGCTGCGGAACTCGGTCCAGATGGTGTCCGTCATGTTCGTCGGCCACCTCGGCGAGCTCCAGCTCGCCGGCTCCTCCCTCGCCGCGTCGCTCGCCAACGTCACCGGCTTCAGCTTTCTCGTACGCACCTGTCGTCGAACACCTTGCTCGCATGCAAGAACTGCTTCATCTCTCCGATTTCTTGGTCAAATTTGTGACTGATTTCTCGGTGGGATGATCTGATCAGTTCGGCATGTCGAGCGCGCTGGACACGCTGTGCGGGCAGGCGTACGGCGCGGGGCAGCACCGGCTGCTCGGCGTCTACGCGCAGCGCGCCATGCTGGTGCTCGCGGCGGCCGCCGTCCCCATCGCGCTCGTCTGGGCCAGCGCCGGCGAGATCCTCCTCCTCTTCGGGCAGGACCCGGCCATCGCCGCCGAGGCCGGCGCGTACGCGCGGTGGATGATCCCGTCGCTCGCGGCCTACGTGCCGCTCGCCTGCGCCCTCCGGTTCCTGCAGGCGCAGGGCATCGTCGTGCCGGTGATGGCGAGCTCCGGCGTGGCGGCGGTCGGCCACGTCGCCGTGTGCTGGGCGCTGGTGCACAAGGCCGGCATGGGGAGCAAGGGCGCCGCGCTGAGCGGCGCCGTCACGTACTGGACCAACCTCGCCGTCCTCGCTCTCTACGTGCGGCTGTCCGGCGCCTGCGAGACGACGTGGACCGGGTTCTCCATAGACGCCTTCCGCGAGCTCCGCCGGTTCACCGAGCTCGCCGTGCCGTCCGCCATGATGGTCTGGTCAGTGACACGTCTTAGTCCTGACACCATTGCTGGTTTCTTGCTTGCTTGAGCAAATCTTGGAACATGTTTTGTGATCGAGAGAGCAAATCGAGCTTGCTTGAACAAATTTTGGGAAATTTTTTATGTGAGGATTGATTAACTGGTTGATTTGGTTGTGTGCAGCTTGGAGTGGTGGTCGTTTGAGATACTTGTGCTGCTCTCGGGCATTCTGCCGAATCCTCAGCTTGAAACTTCTGTTCTGTCAATCTGGTAATTTGATCACAAGCAACACAGATACAAATCAGCTCTCCTCCTTCCCATGGGTATTTTGTTAACTCCAATTTGATTTGCAGCTTGAGCACTTCTTCTCTCCTGTTCATGGTGCCACGTGGCATTGGCTCATCTTTAAGGTTTGTTTCGACTCTAAAGTCTAAAATCCATTTCTTCATACAAGTGTCATCTTTTAGAACAGTGCCCTACTGTGTTGTTCTCTTACAGGGTTTGCAAATTCGTTTGGAACATTTTCTATTCTGCTTCTTCTTTTTTTTTGGGGGGAAATTCCCGAAAATTTCTGAACGACAATATATGAAATTTAAATAAGTTTTGACCAAATTCAGTTTACCCTTATTTTATTTACATGGCAAGCATGCTTTCTTCCTTCAGTTTACATGTCATTGGATTAGATATTTAGAACTGATTAGTTCCACCAATTTTGCACTTGCGCAGCACGCGCGTCTCGAACGAACTAGGTGGCGGGCATCCTCGAGCAGCAAGGATGGCAGCGCGAGTCGCCATAGCCATGACCGTGCTTGTATGCCTCGTGCTAGTGATAGCCATGATTTTTCTGCGCAATGTCTGGGGAAATGCCTATAGCAGCGAGGAGGAAGTGGTGGCATATATTGCAAGTATGCTCCCCGTCCTTGCGGTCTCCTTCTTCATAGATGGCATCAATGGTGCTCTTTCAGGTACAAATCCATACCATATTTCTACTTGTGATCAATCATCAAAATATTTCAGCTGTACATTTTTTTTCTCATTGTCGGCGAGCTTTTCGGGTGAACTGATTGATTCATACAATTAAGTCGATCAGTAGTAATAAAATTACTTGGACCTCCAAATGTTTCAGGAGTTTTGACAGGATGTGGTAAGCAGAACATTGGCGCTCATGTGAATCTTGCTGCGTTTTACTTGGTTGGTATTCCGACGGCTGTGCTGCTTGCATTTGTCCTCCATCTCAATGGAGAGGTAGCACTACTCTCTCAATCTCTTTTGAAAAAAATATGCAGTGCAGATTGTTTTTTTGTTGATTCATAGAAATGTTTTGGTGTACCTTTGTATGATGATGACTGAAACTGCTAGCTGTTTCCATAAAACAGGGTCTTTGGCTTGGCCTTGTGTGTGGCAGTATCAGTAAAGTAGGGATGCTCCTCTTCATCACACTGCGTACAGATTGGGGAAAAGAAGTGCGAAAACCTTCACCCTACAAACACTTCGGTTAGTATTATGTATTCAGTGGAACTTCAGTTAACTGTGTTTCGTTGTCCAATTTTCAGGCTATCATGGCAAAAGAAAGGGTCTTCAGTTCAAGTCTTCCAACTCGATGAAGAATTCGAGAAATGTTGGTGTAGTATTCTCCAATGAAGATGTATTCAACGTGGTTCTTTAATAAGGGTCAGCGTGTTGCAAGCGGTTATCTAGCATAAAACAGAACTATTAGCTCTCTCGCTCGCGAAAAAATTTCCTGCCTCAAAATAGCTTAATTGAGGTTCATCTCAAAAATTTCGAAATCACTTCCCTATTAATCGACAACTATAACTGAATTGTAAAGTCAGAGATGTCACTATACTCTATACCATCAATCAAAAATTCAGTCATTTGACTGAATTTGATAAAGAAAATATATACAAAGGGACATCCACTGAATGGATCTTAATCAGTGAATACATTTCCAGGGTTTTCTATTTCCTGTTGGACTGAAATTTTGGAATTTTGGTGTCACTTTTTGCACAAAGTTATTTGATTTTTTTAACAAAATGTAACTAAATATGAAAAAACTTTGACCGAATTCATAAAAAAAAGAACAAAAAGGAAAATTGCTGCCGACATATTTGCTTGCCGGGGAGGGTGGGGGGTGGTGAAGGGACAATAATTGTGCAGGGAAATGCATGAAGCAACCAGAGGAGGTGATTTTGCATGGACGATCATTAATTTTCGCAACCAGCGATGTACGTAAGAAGACGGAGGAGGTGAAAGATAGACAACCATAGCTAGCTAAAGATAGGCGCCATGTGTGCAGCAACATGGAAGAGTGAGAGGAGGACCAGGCAAGGCCCAACTCCGTATGCACACCGCGGTGACAAATCGATGCTGAAACGACTCATCCATGGGTTCTACGCTGCGGCTATCGTGCGCCTCCCCATCGATGAGATGCCAGCGCTGCTACCCGCCATCCTCGACAGCAACCTCTACTTTGGGCCCCTGGATCCCGTATCCAACATTGTCACCAACGTCGTCAGCCGCCTCCCGCCTGCGGCTAACGTGATGGCGTCGGCGGTTGCTGAAAGCCCTTGTGGGGTTCTTGATCTGCTACTTCTGCTACATGCCCACCCTAGAGGTGTTGCGCTACCTGCACACCACCGAGGAGGATCTTGCCACCGTCCACCTCATCGAGGCCGACTGCTGCACGCACACATTCGACGTCGGCTCGGGCACCACCAAGACCACCCTCCGCTGCACTACGGGGGGCCACGGGCCACACCGACATGGACAGCCTTACCATGGCCATGCTTACACCATTGTAGAAATTCTGGATGATGAACAAGTTATCCACCCTGTGGTGAGGTGTCGGCCCCCGGTTTTGTACACTGGAAACCTCATGTGATTACAATACCATTCCCTGGATCAGTAGATGGTATACACATGGCAACGTTGTATATCACAAAGCCGATATCGTTATACAGGCTTTATAATACATTAATAATACAAGGGTTGCTGGAGTGGCACCCAAATAGACCAAGCATTGTCATCTATAAGACCAAATATCCAATGAAGTAGATACGGTAGCGGAAGCGAAGCAGCGACGGTCCATCTTATTCCACAGGCAGCGACTGGTGAACCTAGGTCCCTACTCCACCGTATTCGACATCTCTTCATCAGCATGGCACACGTACAAATCGGCTCCAACTTCTCCTTCTAAAATATTTAATTAAGCAAGGGTGAATACCAACCGTACTCAGCAAGCCACCACTACATAATGCATATAGTGCTCACAGGGATATTTCAAGGATGCCTTGGTTCGTTTGCATAAAGCTAGATTTCACAAATCATTTCACAAACCTATGACTTAGCAGTTTTAACTGAAAACAACATTATTGTTGAAGTTGTCGTTAATCCATGAGGGTTCATCCACCTTCCCCAATCCTCGCTTGGTCCGGTTTACCCTCGCAACCAGTTTTTCCCACATTCTCCTTCACTACATCCTTCCCACTCATCGGGCAAGGTCACACATCTTTTCCTAATCTAAGCAAGATTAACAATCTATGAGGCTAGTCAAGAGTAGTGTAAGTCCCGATGCTCTTTAATCACGACAACGACTATTCGAATAGATTAGTTTTCCTCACACTACAGTGGATGTACGCTTTTAATCCCGCACTCCGTGACTTGCCCAACATATGAGCCTAATCCCAACACATGAAACTCGTCACGACCCGGTGTTTCAGTCACCCTCGTATTGTGGCACCTGCCCCAAGGACTATGGGTCCCCATTGCACTCCTAACAAAACATACCACCTCGAGCCGGCAGTGAGGGGAGTCCTGGCATTCCCGGGTTCAGGGAGATATATAATATATATACTTATAGGGTGCGTTTTAGGTTTTTGATGTCATTAACTGATCACAACACTTCCTCATCACAATCATCAAGCATCCAGAACCTACCATGACTGAGGTGCCGCCCCACAAGGATTTCTTAGTCCGCCGAGTCTATACCCATTTAAGAAATGTGGTTGTACTCGGTTCGTTTCCTACATAGCTTCTTGACTCGGTCCTTAATTAACCAGGGTCGGTGACTTGCCGTTTCCAGAACCACCCATATTCTATTCATGCCGCCCCAGTCAAAATCATTTTGTTTTATTAGGTTTTTGGTTTTCACAAAGGTTTTGTGTTACGGGTGGCGCTCATGTCTCCACCCGTCTTCCGACGATCACTTACACGGAGTGATCGCCACATCCACATCCATATTGTTGGTGATATAGACTCGGGGGTATCATGTTTAGAGGGAGGAGGCCGCCCTCATACCCACGTGGCACTCCCCCGAGGAGGGTTGGGCCCGGGGTGGAGTGGCGGCAGCCCCCTCCTCGCCCGAGGGTATTAAGACTTGAGGGAGGGGGCTGCCCCCGGTACCCACGTGGCACTCCCCAAAAGGGATCGAGCCGGGGTAGGGTGGCGGCTGCCCCTTCCATGGCTAGGGGTCGGGGTGCCCCGACCCCCTCCGCAGGACGCCACGTGTGTGGGGTTAGGTGTGCGCCCCAACGCCTACCTAACCGCATTTAAGGCGACCTAAGCGGCGCACCACGCCGCATTTAATGTGGCATGCAGTGCGCCTGACCGGTCTGTGACCGATCAGTGACAGGTCGAATGACTGATGGGACCAGGGTAATGTGCCTGCACACTACCACGTGTGTCAGGCGGCGTGCAGCCTGCCCTATCCCGTCAAATCGTGTCATGGCCGGAGTCGGTTCATCCGCTCTAGTCAATGCGAGGCTCCTGTTTCCCGGTGCCAACGGGATCCCAGAAGTCATCACCCATTAGATGGCGACTGGCAGGGGCGCCCCCCGTGTCAGGCGGCGTGGTTTGATGGGCCCCATGACCAAGACGACGTGCGTATGGCTTTCCAAGTGAAGAAACAAGACTTGCATTTTAATGCATAGTTTGTAATCCATCTCCCCTAAGTTAGGTTTTTGGGCCCATGTGGTAACCCCTTGAGGTATAAAAGGAGGTCCAGGCCTACTGCGAGGGGGGACAAGCCCTTTTTTTTTCCTAGAGCACCTTCTGCCCCTCATCATCAACACCTTCTATTCCAACAAGGAGATCTTATAATCTCTTGCAAGATCAGCTAAGCACAGGAGTAGGGTATTACGCTTCTCAGCGGCCTGAACCTGTATAAACCCCTTATATAGGCACGCGATCTTCGCAGGCGGGCAGCCCGCCGATGAAGATGATAAAACATAATCAGTTTTGTCATTGTTGCAAGCGGACACCCCGCCGGCAAAAATGATTTCAGAAGGAAAATAAGAAGTTGGAAAAGTACTAAAAATTTGTAAAAAAAAATGTAAATGATGTTTAAAAACATCTAAAAAAAGCATATAAAAAATGTAATTGATTTAAAAAAGTAAATGATTTTAAAAATCAGTAAAAAAAGTAAATGATTTTAAATAAATGTAAATGATTTTAAAAAATATAAAATCATTTCAAAAAATGTGATTAATTTTATAAAACATATATAAAATGTAAATGGTTTTAAAAAACATTTAAAAAATGTAAATGATTTTAAATAAATGTAAATTATTTTTAAAAAATGTAATTGATTTTAAAAAACATATATAAAATGTAAATGAATTCAAAAAATGTAAATTGGACTACATAATAAATTGTTTGTCAATTAAAACATATCATCATTACATACCAAACAATTACTTAAAGGCATAGTAATCATTGCAAACATGTACAAACGTTACTCTTTCACATTTTTCCCCACACCATCCTTGCGTATGTAAGGCTTCACGGTCTTCTCAGTAGATGCCGCCAAAAGCTTAATCTTTTGTACAAATTGAGTATACAGTGCCATACTATCGTACTGGTTGTAATCTTCGACATCAACGACTCCGTCCACTCCCAAGATCTTTTGTTTTCCTGATGGAACTATTTCTTTCTTCAAATTTGTAGGGTCTGTCACATAGAACACCTGGGCCATGCGATTGGCGAGTACCCAAGGGTCATCCTTGTGACCCACATTCTCAAGGTCAACAACAGTAAGACCAAACTTGTCACTAATGACACCGTTTGGGTATTTTACCCACTGGCACTTAAATATGGGGAATTGCACTATGAGTCCATAGTCAATTTCCCAGATTTCTTCAATAAACCCAAGTATGATAGTTTTTCTCCTAGGGAATCAATTTCCTCCACACGTACACCGCTGTTTTGAGTGACGGTCTTACTATCTCGAGCTCTTGTACTAAACGTGTATCCATTAATGTCATATCCCTCCCAATAATTGACTATACTTGATGGACCACATGCCAACCTTTTCATAGTTATTTCCTCGGTGGTTCTCCATTCTATGAAGAGACGCTTGTGTTCTTTCATGATCCACTTGGTTGTGCGTCCCGTATTGTTAGATCTTAGTAGTTTGATGTTTTGATCGATGTAAGGCTCAACAATAGCAAGCTGATGAAGAACGCTGAAGTGAGCTTCTCGAAGTGTTTTGTAATCATGGGCGACGAATCTCTTCTTTCCTTTGGTCCCCCTACCAGTCAATTCACCCTCGTGTCGAGGTACATGTATTCCAATTGTCTTTCCATTGTTGAGGTAATCGATAAAGCACTCGACAACCTCTTCTGTATTGTAACTCTCAACCATTGATCCCTTTGGATGGGTGCAATTCCGGACGTAGCCCTTCAAAATAGCCATGTAACGCTCATATGACCACATTTGATGGAGGTACAACGGGCCAAGCGCAATTATCTGGGGCACTATGTGAACGATGAGGTGCTCCATCGTATCAAAAAATGCTAGAGGGAAACATATCTCAAGTTGGCACTGTGTCTCATGTGCGAATGTACGAAGAAGTGATAACTCTTCCTAACTGATGACCTTCTATGAGACTGCATTGAAAAAGTAGCACAACCTTGCGATAGCAACCTTTAAATGTTCTGGTTTTATGTCCTGTATTGCAATGGCA